CAGGGACACCAGGACACTGCACATTCCACAGGGACACCAGGACACTGCACACTCCGTGCTTTGCCCAGGCTCGTGCAGGAGGCAGAGGCAGGAGGGTTCTCTGGGTCCCCTCTGAGCACCCCTGGCTCTGCCCAGCCCTGTCCCTGCGCCCTCCTCTCGGTGTTTGTGTCTAACTGCTTCTCTTCTGTCCTTTTCCTGCTCCCCTGCCCGGGAAGCCGCGCTGGCTGAGGCGGTAACACACTCAGGTAAATCCACCCCTGTCCCTCTCCCTGGGCTCCTGTTCTCTGCTCCCTCCAGGGCTTTATCTCCCCTCTCCCTCCATACCTGTGCCAAGGCTCTGCAGGGAGCAGTGCAGGCACCACCAGCACAGGGCAGCAGGTTGAAACACAGAGCCTCAGTCTACTCTCTCTCTTATTTTCTTATTCCCTTTTTCCCTTCTCATTTGCTTTGCTGGGAACCAGGAAAAACACCTTCAAAAACCGGTCCAGATAAATCAGTGTCAAACCTGCCCTCAGCAGCCAAACCCTGGAGCAGACACATTTGGGAGCCTCTTCCAGCCACAAAATCACCATGTCTGTGTGGCTGGGATGAGCCTCAAGGGCTGGTGCAGCATCCCCAGCCCTGCAACCACAGAATCACAGAACTGTTTGAGTTGGAAAAGCCTTCTGAGACCATCAAGTCCAACTATTCCCCCAGCACCGCCAAAACCAGCACTAAACCACAGCCCCAGGTGCCACATCCGTGTGGCTTTTAAATCACTTCCAGGGATGGCGACTCCAGGGCTGGACAACCCTTTCAGTGAAAAAACACTCCCTAATATCCAACCTGAACCTCCCCTGGTGCATCTCTGGGGCTGTTTCCTCCCGTCCCGCCCGCGCCGCTCGGTGCTGAGCTGGGGGATCTGAGCTGGGGGATCTGAGCCGGGGGATCCAGGCAGGGACTCAGCACCCCCCGGGCTCTGTTCTGTTCCAGCCTCTTCGAGAGCGGCATCAACTGGGGCCGGGTGATCGCCCTGCTGAGCTTCGGGTACCGCATGGCCATGCACGTGTTCCAGCACGGCCTCACCGGCTTCCTGCGCCGCATCGCCCGCTACGTCGTGGAGTTCATGGTGCAGCACAGGATCGCCCGCTGGATCGCCCAGCAGGGAGGATGGGTGAGCAGGGCACGGGCTGCCGGGGGGCTCTGGGGAGAGCAGGGGCTGTGCCAGGGGGCTGGGGAGCTCCTGGGGGAGCGGGGGCTGTGCCAGGGGTCCAGGGGATTCTTGGGGAAGCAGGGGCTGTGCCAGGGGACTGGGGGGTCTCTGGGGGAGCAGGGGCTGTGCTGAGGTTCTGGGGGTCTCTGGGGGAGCAGGGGCTGCGCTGGGGGGCTGAGGGGTCCTCAAGGGAGCAGGAGCTGTGCCAAGGGTCTGGGAGGTCTCTGGGGGAGCAGGGGCTGTGCCTGGGGCCTGGGGGGTTCCTGGGGGAGCAGGGGCCGTGCCGGGGATCTGGGGGGTCTCTGGGGGCTCAGGCAGCACAGCAGCCCGGCTCCAGCAGGACTGACCCTGGTCTCTGCTCCCTGCCAGGTGGCTGCACGGAACCTGGACAATGTTTACATGAAGTACATGCTGGTGGTGGCCCTGCTCGTGCTGGGGCACTTGGTGGTACGACGCTTCCTCAGGCTCTGACGGGGCAGGGCTGGGGGGTCCAGCACTCTCTCAGTTCTCTGCTCTGTCTCCCAGGAGAGGGGGATTCGAGGAGCCTCCGAGAGAGAGTGTGGCTGGACCCCCTCCCACCACAGGGCCTGGGGTCTCTGCATCCCCTGGAGCCACGGAGTGAAGGAGGGGATGGGGGGGCTCCTCTTTGTCGTCTTTTTGGTGCCTCAACAAGCTGCTGAGGATGGGCCCGACTGTGCTGGGGCATTGCTGGGACCCCCAGGTCCTCAGGAGGAGCAGAGGTGTGATGGCAGTGCCTCTGTGTGTGTGTGTGTTTGTGTTTAGGGTCTCGTGCACCCCTGGGGCAGGTGCAGAGCCCCCCATTGCTGACAGCCCCAGCCTGGACCCCCCCTGTGTCCGAGCCCTGGCTGCTACAGTTGTTGTCTGCAAGCCCATGTGGGGCTGCTTCACCTCCCCTCTGCTCCTGAGCCCAGGACTTGAGCCTTCTCCAGCTTTTTAAGAGACACCCCGACCCCTTTTTATAGGAACACTCCTCCTGCCCCTGCTCTGGCAGGAGTTCCCTGCCCCAGCCCTGGCCTGCAGCTCCCCAGGGCTCAGGGGGTGCAGGGCTGGGGTGCAGCCTCACATTCCCCCCGAGCCCAGGGGCTCTGTGCTGGCTCCCCTGGGCAGCACCAGCAGGTTCCCAAACACTAAAAGCCTGTGGGTGCTCTCTGGTGGGGACAGGGGGGGTTTTCCCTGCCCACCCACCAGTTCTGCTGGGGGTCACTCAGCGGGTGCTGGCACAGGAGCAGCCCAGTTGTGACCAGTTGTCCTCCCTGGCTGTCACTGGGGGGCACTGGGGCTGCATCCCACTCCTGGCTGCCCCAGGGCAGGGCAGTGACTCGACCTTGTTCCGTTCCTGGTGATGCTTGAGTGGGATTTTTGGGGGAGGGAGGGGAGCTCCACTCTCCCATCCCCAAAGCTTCCTTACTTTTGCAGAACAGGGAGTTTAAACTGGTGCTCCATGAGCCCAGAGGCAGGAACCTCCCTGCTGTCCCTGGCAGCTCCCTCCTCTCCCCTTGCAGCTGCCCAGGCTTGGCAGGACCAGCCTTAATTTTTTAACACTCACTTTCCTGCCTCTTTTTAACCGAATAGCAAACTTTTTAACCTGTTTCCATATCAAGGTCCTCCTGAGCTCATCACTTTGCTCCTATCCCTGCAGGAATTCCCCCTTTCCCTGGTGGAATGCTCTGGTCCGTGCTTAATGGAAAGGCATTAAAATATTGACTCTGTTATTCCTCTCTCTCTGTTTTGGTGCTTGCCCCGTGCAGGGCAGCTCAGCTCTCCCCTGGCCTGGCTCTCCTGGGCCCTCGGGGCTCATTTGTCCCCTTGCAAGTGCATTTCTTTGCCTTTTTTCCACACACAACTTCATTTCCCATCGTGCCACCCCTTCTCCCAGCTTGAGATTTCCTCGAGTCCAAGACTCTTCTCTGCTGTGAACCAGCCTAACCAGTGTGAGCTGCAGTTCCCACCCTCCTCCTCACCTCCTTTTTGGGTGCAAACACCACCAGATGGAGCCTTTTTGCCACGATGAAAATGAACTACTAATGGTTATTTCCCTTTTCTCCTAATCAACCACTCTGTTGGCAAATCATCGTCCTCCAGGCTGGTTCTCTGCTTGGGTTGTGTCTCCAAAAGGACTTTTTGGACGTCCTTGGAAAAAAACCCAGCCCATCAGTTTTTATTCACTACTTCAGACACACTCCTGGAACTCTAACAGACTGGGGAGAGCTTTTGCTGCTCATAATTTATTTTCATTTCCCAGATAAAGTGTTTCCCCTTACAAACCAAATGCAGCTGTGTGGCCATCAGGCTTCAAATAAAGAATATTTTTCATATTTATGGTAGAGGGTTGAGCCTTAGTGAAGTCTGGGACACCAGGACAGAGAAGGGAACTTTTAACTGGGTGCAGTGCAAAGAAAAATGTCCATTTTCTGCGTTTTCTCAGGGGATTTGCAGGGAGGATTGTCTCAGGACCTCAGTGCATCACCTCCCTCTGCTCTCACCTCTCCCAGCCTTCCCAGCACTGGTTAACTGGTGGAAAAAAGCTTGAACTGGGACTGTGGGGTTGGTGTGTGGTGCTGTGTCCTGTCACAGCCCCGGGTGCCCCGTGGCTCCTGCTGCCTCTCTGCCAAAGGAAGAGTCTCATTTACTGAGCCTTTTTAAATCTCACCATCTTCCAGCTCCTTCCTCCTGGGTGGAGGAATCTGCCCAAGCTGCTGCTCAGAACCTTCTCTCCTGCAGCCCTTCCTCACCTCAGGAGGTTTTTACCTGTGTTTGAACCCAAACTCTCCCTGTCAGCTCTGGTTCCTCCTCCCTGCAGGAGGGGACAGGGTGTGTGACAGTAAAGGACACTGGCTCTGGCTCTGGAGGGGAGGGACAGGTACAAACACCTTCTTTTCCCAGGGGCAGAGGAGAGGCAGGCAGGTTCTCCCAGCAGCAGCAGGGAGGTGGGGAAGGAGCTGCCTGCAGGTCACCTCTGAAGGGCAGCAAAGGGGCTGGGTGGGACACGGTGGGCTGCTTTTATCTGAAAAACATTTCTCTCACCAATACTCTGTATTTTAAATTATGTGATGTATATATGTCAAAATAAAAATGGTACCTTGAGTGCAAACTCACGTCCTGGCCGTGTGGGGGGTTTTCTTCCAGAGGCTTCCAGGAGCTGTGCTCTGGCTCCGGGGGGCTCTTGGGGGATGATGCTGGGCTGGGGCAGCTGGGTCCATGTCCCTGGTCCCTGAGCCCCCCAGACACTGCCCAGCTCTGCCCCCTCACCCCGAGCTGCCCCCAGCTCTGCTGCCTCCCCCCTGCAGCCCCACGGCCCCTTTGGGGCTGGGGGAACCTCCCAGTGCAGCCCAGAGTGGGGACTGGTTGTGGTGGGAGGCACCAGGGCAGGGCAGGGGCTGTGTCCATCTCTACTGTGTCCATCCATCCCGTGTCCATCCATCCCATGTCCGTCCCTCCTGTGTCCATCCATCCATCCATCCTGTGTCCATCCTTCCTCTGTCCATCCTGTGTCCATCCTTCCTCTGTCCATCCCTCCTGTGTCCATCCATCCTGTGTCCATCCTGTGTCCATCCATCCCATGTCCATCCATCCCATGTCCATCCCTCCTGGCTGCTGAATGTGGAGGATCCTTCCAGAGCCTTCCACTCCCTCCCTCTGCCCGGGTCTGTTCTGGTGGCTGGGGAGCAGGGCAGTGTCTGGGGGGGCTGTGGGGCTGTGCTGGAGCAGAGGTGGCTGCCCAGGGGGGTGACCCTGCTGTCCCCAGGCAGGACAGCTCAGTGCCATGGCTCCGGGATGGATCCCAGTGACCCCACAGCTCCACCCCGGGTCCCCACCCCGGCCTGTCTGTCCCACAGGGCAGTGACAGCCCCGGGCCATCCCCCCGGGGTCCCTGGATGCCACTGGGATCAAAGGAGCCCCAGGGCAGGATTCCTGCCTGGATGGCTGGGACCAGACGGAGCCGCAGGGTCTGAACCCAGGCCGTGCCCATTCCTTGCAGGATTAACCCTGGGGAATGTGTTTGGAGCGTTGGAAGGAGGGGAGATGGAGGCTCTGGATATAAATTGCTGCAGGGGGAGCGTGGGCTCAGCGTTTCCACACGATCCATCAGTGGCAGATCAAGCACTGGAATCTAAATAAATATTTACCCCAGTCCCTGGCCTCCATAAATAGCCACATGTCACCATTCCCAGTTTGGGATCTCTGCAGTGGGATTCCAGCAAGGGAGGAGCATTCCCAGCACCCTCCATGCCCAGCCCTGCTCAGCTCCCCCAACAACCCCAGGCTGGGGCTGCCCTGCTGCCTCTGGGCAAGCAAAGGGTGAACTTTAGGGAAAGAGAAATGGCCCTAATTAAAGAGCCAGCTGCTCCCCTAATCCACTTTGTGTCCTGCCCCAAACCCAGATCAAGCTCCTAATTAAATTACCAAAAAAACAATTAAGGCCACAATATTTTTGCAGTATTTGCCTTTGGCCATTCAGATGGAATTGACCCCAAACCAGAATCCAAGATCTGGTGGCAATTTAGATCTAGAGCTGGTATTTGAGTCAAGTGCCTTATCTCTAGAACTGGGTCAAACTCCAGAACACCTGAGTTTTGTGGAAATAAAGTTTTTTTTCTAGCTAATTTCCAGGACATGAAGTGAATGAGAGTGGGCAGGAGCTGGGAAAACACACGTTTCTATCATCCTCATTTTTTGATCAGATATCCTTCCCTGCCAGGCAGGTTTCCCTCACTTGGCACGTGCCTGGAGATCCTCAGCCCCTGGCTGGGATCCAGCCCATGGCAGGATCTGCTCCCTCCCCGGGGTTTGTTCCCATCCATTCATCCACCTCACACATCATTTCTGTCCCCAGCATCTGGGAATCCACCTGGGACCTGCTGCCCTGGCACAGGGGCACTGAAGGGAACAGACCTTGTTCTCCTGGCTGAAGGGGAACAGGAGCTGCAGGTGAGTGACAGGGCCTGGCACCAGCCCCTCCAGCCCCTCCAGCAGCAGCAGAGCCTTTGGAGCAGCCCCTGAGAACAGATTCCAGCCAGCCCTGCCCTGAGCCAGAGCATTTATCCATCCTGTGAGCTGGCAGCCAGAGAGGCAGAGTGTTCTGCGAGTTATTCCTCATTCCCAGATCATCCTGAGCAGCTCCATGAATCACAGTGGTCTGGGCAAATTCAGGAGGAGAAAACCCTGGATGTTCCTGGAGGGGAGTCTGTCCCAGCCCCTGGGACTGCTCTGACACGGGGCTGTTGGGACCTGAGTGGGGCTGGGCTGGGCTCTGCCCTGCTCTGCTCTGCCCTGCTCTGCCCTGCTCTGCTCTGCCCTGCTCTGCTGGCAGCCTGCAGGGATCCAGGCTGGAGCATGTCCAGAGCTCTGGCAGAGCAGTTCCACGTCTCCACACAGCATTTTCCACCCCTGTCCCTGGGGAACACTCGGGAACTCAATGCCCTTGGATGGATCAGTTGTAAAGGCAAATCCTCTGCCACCAAAGTTAGTCCTGATTCAGCACAAAGAAAGCAATAAATCCAGTTTTCTACTTACAGCAGCCCTTGCAAGAGCCCAAACCATAATGCTGCCTTTACACAAGTGACATTCCTAATCCAGAACTCCCTCTGTCCAAAATAATCCTCCCATTTGCCCGGGCCGTGTCCCTGCCCATGGATTGTCCCACGGGAATAGCTGAGGGAAGGCCCTGGCATTTCCCCTGTGCTGACCGTGCTCCTGGGGGGATTTACACCCGGGCTGAGGTGGGGCTGTGCTGCACTCACCCTGCAGAGCCTGGATCAAAGCTTGGAAATCTGAGCTGGGATGAGCCTGCCCAGCTCAGGGGACACCAGCCCTGGACCCCCGGGCAGCACAAGGTGCTGCACGGCCCCTTCTCCCCTGGGATCTCCTTGGAAAAATCTGCAGCTACACCATGGCCATGAGTGGGACAACCAGGGATCAGCTGCATTTCCCTAAAAATGAAGCAATGCCACCATCAGGGCACCAGGGCTGTGCCAAGGGAGCAGGGCTGTGCCAAGGGAGCAGGCAGCTTTCTCA